CCAAATGTACTCTATTGGATTGAGATATGGGGACTGTGGAGGCCATTTGAGTACAATGAACTCATTTTCATGTTCAAGAAACCAGTCTTTATGACATGGCACGTTATCCTGCTGGAAGTAGCCATTATAAGATGGGTACACTGTGGTCATAAAAGGATGTACATGGTCAGCAACAATACCTATGTAGGCTGTGGGGTTGACACAATGCTCAATTGGTACTAATGGGCCCAAAGTGAGCCAAGAAAATATCCCCCCACACATTACACCACCAGCCTGAACCGTTTATACTAGGCAGGATGGATCCATTTATGTTGTTCATACCAAATTCAGACTCCGCTGTTCTAATTTATCTTTTTCGGACCATTCTCTGTAAACCCTAGAAATGGTTGTGCGTGAAAATCCCAGTAGATCAGCACTTTCTGAAATACTCAGCCCAGCCTGTCTGGCACCATCAACCTTGCCATGTTCAAAGTCACTTAAATCACCTTTCTTCCCCATTCTGATGCTCAGTTTGAACTGCAGCAGATCGTCTTGACCATGTCTACATGCCTAAATGCATTGAGTTGCTGCCATGTGATTGGCTAATTATAAATTTGCATTAACGAGCAGTTGGACAGGTGTACCTAATAAAGTGGCGAGTGAATGTATATATATTTATAATATGTATGATAAAAGTGTGCAAGTGTTTTTTTTATTAATACTATAATGATTACTACAAATTACTTTGTTGTTGTTAAGAAATAATTGAATATTTTTTTCTCTTTATTTTTAGATGGTAAAAAAAGGATCAAATCTATGAGCTAAAGAAGTAAAGGTCAAAAGCAATCAATATTATTACGATTTCTAAATCATTTACCTAGCATTGGAGAACCGCAATTTATTTTTACTCAATAATTGAATATAAAGGCTACATGTTACAAATAAGCTTTATCAATATTAAACACAAAAGTGTCAGTTAAACAACTTCATTTGCTTTAGGAACTTTATTATTATTATTTATTATTTTTTAAGATGCTAAATATTGTGGGATGTGTATGATGAAAGTGATTCATTGTATATTCACCTTGTATGAAAAGCTGATAATGTTGAAGAGCGAGTCTCTGAGTGAAGCTTTAGTTAATAAAGTTTGGATTATTAAATTCTTCACCGCTCCTAAAACGCCACTCATTCCCTCTGAGCAGTCCAGAACAAAGCTGATATTTTTGCCTTTACCCATAAACAAGGGTAGGAAGTTTCGGCTGTTAGATTCCTGAGGACTTGATGTCATTGTAGATCTGACAAAATAATCTGCAAAACAGTCAAATCAGCAAAATTACAGTTGACATCTGACTGACTTCTATTAACACAAACAGCTCTTCAAGTTATTTAGAATTGAATATCTGTAAAATTGTGTTACATGTAAATAAATGTAATCATACCTTAATCCTGGTTCATTGAACACACCTCCAAATTTTGACAATTTTTGTTCTTTCCCTAAAATACTACACAGGGATCTGTGCCTCGACTGTGTACTGAGGTTGCCATAGTGAGCCACTGACCAGCCTGAAACCGTCATTGCATCCATCTAGTGGTGACAGAGAGTATCTGGTGTGCTCTTGGGAACATGTTTTTAATGTGATTGGAGTCTGGAGAGTTATGGCTTGGTGTTCATGTTACAGGATGTAGAATAGTCTGTTAATGGCATAAATACCCAAAATATACACTGTAAAAATTATCTGTTAATTAACAGTTTCCGTATTTTTTGTTTTTCCATCTATTTATTGTTGTGAATTTCATAATTGGAGCTTGAACTCTGTCTGCTCTGTTGATTTTTGACGTTAAAAATTCAACTCTACTACAGCTTAACAAAGTGACTTTTAGTAGTTTTAGTAGTTTGATAACTTGTACGAAATGATATATAAATAACTAATCTGTAAAATACCAGAATATACTGCCAGTTATTACAAGGTTTTTGCAGCATAAAATTCAACACCAAACCAGACAATATATATCACTTTAAACTATTAAAGATGTTCTTAAAAGTCACTTTCCCCAACTTTTTATGGTTAAAAGTTGTCAGAAGAAAGATTAAGGTCTCATAATGCGATTCAGAAGCATAAATATTAATAATAAAAAAACATTAATCACAAAATATGTAAAACTGCTCATTTACAGTGTACATTCCCCAAAAGAAACAAGATATTCTGATAAGAATGTTGGGGGAAAGCAGCCATTGACATTCATTGTATCAAAAAATACTATGGAAGTCAATAGACATTATTCCCCCGACATTCTTCAGAATATCTTGTTTTGTGTTCAACAGAGGAAAGGAATTCATAAAAGTTTAGAACAGAGTTGTCAAAACTCTTGAGGGCTAGTGTCCTGCTGAGTCTAGCTCTAACTGCTTTAACAAACCTGCCAGAAAGTTTCTAGTATATCTAGTAAGAGCTTGCTTAGCTGGTTCAGGTGTGTTTGATTAGGGTTGGAGCTAAACTCTAGAGGACATCGGCCCTTCAAGACTGAGTTTGGACACCCCTGGTTTAGAACCATTTGGTGAAGAAATGGTGAGGAAATTTTAATTTGGTGATAACCTATCTCAAATCAAAATTCTCACCATTTCTTCACCAAGTGGTTCTAATTTTTTAATGACTTCCTTTTCTCTGCTGAACACAAAATTGTAAAGATGACACACATGGCATAAACATTGGAGGGTGAATGTTCATGTCTAAGCAAAATAATAATCATGGGTGAATTGAATATTAAGACTCAAATCGTTTTAGATATCATTGACTAATAGAAGTCAATTATCATCAAGGCTATTGGATTCTTAAAGGGATACTTCATCCAAACATGAAAAATTAGGTACATGACAGAAGAAATTAAGAGACATTTCAACACATCTTTATGTATTGGAATGACATGAGTGTGAATAATTGGAGTCTCCAAGTATTGAAATTTTCTTCTAATGAGCATTTTCTCAGTGCTCTGTGTAGGTTCTGTAATTTCACTGTTATGGCAAAGAATATTCTAAAATAATCATTTTATAGTCAAAATTGAAAATACACTTTTTTTTTTGCATCTGAATCCATCAATTAAAGACAGATTTTATATTTTCATGGTAACTGTCCCTTTATTTTGACTACTAAAGAAAATACATGAATGCATAATTTCAAATAATTTAATTTGTGATTTAATAATAAAAAAACACTCTACAGGCCCTCCTTTTATTGGGGCTCTAGAAATGACATTTGCCTCTGTATGTAATGCATGGTGATTGTAAGATTAGTGGGTTTGATTATCTTTATCATTTAAAAAGGGCTGAAAGTTAAAAATTTGCATGACGGGTTTAACAGAAACTCACGTGAGAAATTGCACCACAAAGGTTGAGCTGAAACTGATTTCACAACCTGAGCCCAGACTCTCTGTCCAAAAATAGACATGTCTGGCCATCTCCTCTTCCACAGAAGCTGAAATGCGAAAAAGAAACTGAGGTGAGAAAAGCCGATGAAACATAGATGATGTTTTGGAAAAAGGACCCAACTATGGCAGATTAAAGAATTGAAAAAGCTAAGAAAAAAAGCACAAAGAACAATTCTGAACGACTTGAATGTTATAAATTCATATTTACATTGACTGAACTTTCTTTATTTTTGAAAATTTCAATCTCACCATGCTGGCCTTTAAGATATGTAATCATATTAATTGTATTAAAAGAATTTAATTACAACTAATAAAGCCATATCAGTATTTATTATAAAAACGATATATAACTATATTTTCTAAAATATATAACGCACACAGTTGGGGTAAAAATTAGACCATGTAAATTCTCATTATCTCTGTATACGATTTATAGTAATGCGTTTGAATAAAACATGTTTGTTTTTTAATGCAGTTGTCATTTATTCCCAATTAAAAAGAACATTTTTTGTCCATTACAGTGTAAAATGACAATTGGTCAGCATAACAGTCTGTTTATATTTATTTTTTGACAACACAATACCAATATTTTAACTTCAGAAGCAGTAAGAACACAATGGCTATTTGGTTTCAGTTGCAACAAATAAAATAAATGCTCTAATCATTTTTTTTAATCAAACACCTATTAAATCCAGAACAGCCAGAGTCTATTAGATGGACAGTTAACTCAATACTTGAAAATTCTGCCATTTCCTCGCCCTTGTCACAAATCTTAAGTTCCTGTCTTCTGTGAGCACAAAAAGATATTTTGAAAAATGTTGTAAACAGTAACCATAGACTTCCTAATTTGTTTTTGCTATGGAAGAATGGTTACTGGTTTCAAACAATTTTCTAAATTTGATCTATTGTGTTTTCATAAAGGTTTGGAACCACTTGAAGGTGAGTAAATAGTAAGTAAATAATATTATTTGAGAGCTATCATTTTAAATAGTTTCAATAGTTGTATGTCTTGTTCAAAATACAGCCAGTGGCCTATGTCTATCTGAATATAAAAACAACGTACTTGTAAACGTGTTAAAATTGAAATGTTTATTGTTTTGTATGAAAACATATACGACATACAGTAAAAAGGCAAGTTACAAGAGTTTATGACATCAGCGAAAGGTGAAGCTGTTCTACTGCACTGCATTGCCCAGGCATCCTCACTCCAGCCATGACATAATGCGATTCAAAATGGCGACCGTGCCTTCGGTGACACGCTGTTAATATCTGCGGTTAGCACAACAATATAACCACTGGTCGCGTTATAGCTTTCAAATAAATATACACAAAACCCACGGCATCTATCCGCCTAATTGATATACCATGCCCAGACGCTTCTGTGCGAGATTTGCTTATTCACGCTTGAACAATACACCCAACAGACCCGAATGGCGTCCCTAAGGTGCCCCGGAACGTGAATTTCTGACAACACGAATTCGCACCGAAGGAAGTTTAACCAATGGTAAAGTGTCAGCATCCTGCTTCAGCCAATCACAACCGCGTATTAAGAATCGGTTGAAGGGACTCTTTTGTTATTCAGATTCTGGGGTTGTATATTCTGCATAGCGTTTCCTGCCCTGGTGCATGGTGGTCGAACGAAGGGATTGTTGGAAAATTTTCGGAGGTTAGTATATAAATGTGTTTTTACCCAGTGTGCCTTATTTCCTCAGACGCCGCTTAGCCGGAAAGCGTGGCGATGGGAGAGCGGTGGAATTCGATGTGGAATGCAGAACGAAATAAACTCGTGAAAATGCATCGGAAGCGGTGTTTTATTTATTAAAGGCAGTTGGACGCAGGGTTGTAATCGGTTGCAACAATTGTAACGATCCGATTGTGATTGTCAAGTTACTGCCGCAGCGAATTCGCTGCGGGCTAATGGTCGTCCCATTCTGTTTTAAACAGCTTTATTTAAGACGGAAACGTTTTGTTTAAGTTTGTGTGATTGCATAAGTTTATGAATCCCAACGAGAGTATATTATGTAAACGAGAGGAAACGTCAAGAGTAAAACGCGAGCATTATTGTAGCATATTTGCTAACATGTGATGATGGGTTAGCATGACAGATGTCCTGTCAACTAATAAAGCTAAGAACTGACGAACAACTTTACATCAGCTGCTTTTTGCGATTTAATTTTTGTAATTGTGCAATTATTTTTATATTCCCAAGTTGTGTTCTTTAAATATGTTTCCGCTATTTGGCTAAAATGGACATCAGAAATGCCCGCTCTAATGCGGTAGTTCGTGTATATTTGGTGAGCTTGCCAAATCGCAACGTTCCTATTATTGCACCACTTTGCAGAATGCAATGTTTTTTCTTAGACAAGCAGTTTTATTTTTAATCCCCAAAATAACCATTGCCTGTTAATTATGAAATTAATGTATTAAAGCATTTTTTAAATACTCCAAAATCCATAAATAAATGCTGAAATACATATAGAGAACACATCGGTTTATTCCCTTTTAAATTTTTCATTAGTTTGTTCTAATAAATCTTTATTTTCCTTTTAAAAATCTCTGCAAGCCACGTATGATGATCAGAGTTGGTCTATGAGACATAAAACATTTTATAAGTGAAGCTAGCAGATGTGCTAGTGTATCGGAATGTAAAAATCCCCCCAAAATGTATTCAGTCTGTAATGAGTAGTTAGTTACTAGTAGAACGGAAATGGGAATCGGCAACATTTGAAAGTGAATAATCAAAATACGTATTACAGATTTATAGCTAATACTGCATTAGTTAACAGTGTTTCTAAAGCATTGAAATGATGATAACATCAAAAATTGATATTAGTTTATAAAGCTGTCTATTTAGTTAGCACTCTCAATGATTATTAATTGTCAATAATAATAATATTGTATAATTGTTATAAAGGTTGTTAGTTTGTTGCATGTTTTTTTAAACTACTGTTTTCACTACTGTATGTCTTTTTTATGCATTGACCTTGCCATGAAAATAACAATATATGCTGGTATGACAATAAAACAGACAAACAAAATGCTAATTAGTTTTAAGATATGCATATTCAAATTTAATAATATTTAAAATATTAATAACTAATTCTATAGGGTGCAATAAAATGTAGTACTGAAAGGTTAACATTCATTTTGATGCAACTAATTAAAATGTACAAATAAAAAGATCCTACAGGAAGAGTGCACCAGCACAAAACCATCATCATAAGTAATATCTTCAAAAATCAATTTGTTTTAGCAGTTTGAAAGTTAAATATTTCTAAAATATAATAAATAACTAGTGTAAAATTAACAACTTTAATAACACACCATAACAGTAAAGCTGCCCAGGTCTGTATTATTTCTGTTATTAAACACCAAATCATTGACGGCTGTTGGCTGGTTTGTACAGGCAGATCATGCTGTTAGCCCAGGTGAATCGGGACACCCAGGGCATGGAGTTTCAGAGTGTGGACGGGGACCCACAGCAGGTCACCCTTTGCCTGACAGAGGCAGTAACAGTTGCAGGTGAGGTGGATATGCATAAAATATCTGCAACAGTATTGTACTTCATGCATATTCCAGCACAGACACATAACAGCCAACTGTTGCCATACAGATGACAATATTGATGGAATGGACACCGTGAGCCTGCAGGCAGTGACTCTGGTGGATGGATCCACAGCATACATCCAACATAGCCCTAAAGGTACTGGAACTACATTTTTAGAGCTACTTTTTAGGCACACAATCTTCTATTCTGCACTTGAAATGCTATTTGATTTACACTTTTGAAGGCATCCTGTATATAATATAGGTTGCATTAAATAACTTGACTGCATATTTTTTGTCTTGCACACTTGCTGTTCAAATCTTACAGCATATAACAGTTTCTCTCACAGAAAACAAAATAATGGAGGGACAAGTGATTCAGCTGGAGGATGGATCTGCTGCTTATGTCCAGCACCTGCCAATGTCTAAAACGGGTATATTATTTAGTGTTAATTAGTTGATTACTTGCATGCATATTACTAGTATTTATGGTAATTGCAAAGCACACATAACCAGATCATATTTGATTTTATAAGTAACCTTTTTTCATAGGTGGAGAAGGTTTGAGGCTAGAAGATGGGCAAGCTGTGCAACTAGAGGATGGAACGACTGCTTACATTCACGCACCCAAAGGTCTGTCTCTGAATGGCTGTTTATTACAGTGGATTGGGCATGTTAAGGATTCTACTTAATTGTATTGTAACTGTATTTTCTGTGTTATGTTATTATAATCTAATTGACTTCTATAATTATATTAATGTCAAGAAAAATGTGTTTAAACTGTCACATAGGGCTGCACGATTTTGGAAAAACCTGATACTGCAATATTTTATTTGTCTGCGATTAAATATTGCAATATGAATACAGTTTTTACAAGATGATTTGAATAGCACTATTTGGTGGTTTTCTAGGGAGTATAACAGTATTCAGGTACAGAAATTAAATAATCACAATACAAAAAAAATGCTTTTCCTACTTTGTTTCGTTTCTAGTCCAAATATTAAATGAAAAATTTATAATAAATAAATAAAATTCTTAGATCAAGTAAAAAGATAACGTTTTGTTTAAAACTTCAGAAGAAATTAGCCAAAATTAAGAGTTTTTCCTTGTGAAACAAGTGAAATTATCTGCCAGTTGGGTAGGTAAAATAATCTTTTTTTTTTCGCTTTGAAATGTAGCTATTTGTACTAGAAACGCGACAAAAATTCTAAGAAAAAAACCCTCCCCCTTTTTTGCACAAATCATATAAATTCCATATACTGTAAATAAGGTAATTAAATACAATTCTGTAGCTCCTCGTCAACTATAATTCAGACTGCAAATTGCGTACAGTTGAAGTCAGAATTATTAGCCCCCTTTGAATTTTTATTTCTTTTTTAAATATTTCCCAAATTATGTTTAACAAAGCAAGGACATTTTCACAGTATTTCTGATTAATATTTTTTTTATTCGTTTTATTTCAGCTAGAATAAAAACATTTTTTAATAAAAAAAAGTAAGGTTTATTATTTATTAGCCCCTTTTAGTTATATATTTTTTGATAATCTACAGAACAAACCATCGTTATACAATAACTTGTCTAATTACCCTAACCTGCCTAGTTAACCTAATTAACCTAGTTAAGCTTTTAAATGTCACTTTGGGCTGTATAGAAGTGTCTTGGAAAATATCTTGTCTAATATTATTTACTATCATCATGGCAAAGATAAAACAGATCAGTTACTAGAAATGAGTTATTAAAACTATTATGTCTAGAAATGTGAACCTTCCTCTGTTAAACAGTAATTGGGGAAAAATAAACAGGTGAGCTGGTAAAATAAACAGGTGGGGGGGGGGATAATTCTGAATCCAACTGTATCTTACGATGTGACTTGCAAATGTGCACATTGTGATGTCGATGCTGAAATGCTTTCATTTTGTTTCGACTTGTTTATGGAGAATGTCACTAATTTTTGTTAATTTTTATTATATTTATTAATTTTATTTTATTCTGAATAATGCAAGTAAATTACTTTTGTTTATAATGTTTGTAGATGTTTATTTTTATAAAGCAAATTTTAATCTGTTTTACAGCATTTCTGAATGTAATTTTACAGTTTGACACTTGTTTCTTATTTTGTATTATATAAGTAAATGTTTTATTAATTCTGATAAAATGTTCATGTCAACAATCTTTCCAGAAACATATGATCAGGGCGGATTACAGGCTGTTCAGTTGGAGGATGGCACCACTGCATATATTCAACATATGCCTCAGTCCAACACCATCTTGGCCATCCAGGCTGATGGTACTGTAGCAGACTTACAAACAGAGGGCACGATTGATGCCGAGACGATTAGTGTACTGGAGCAATACTCTACTAAGGTGAAGATCAGTGGCCTGCCGCTATTCAGATTATTCAGATTGTTTACATTAGCTAATGTTAACAAACATGAATAATGCATTAGTAAATGTTGTACTATAATTAATAAATGCTGTACATGTATTGCTCATTATTAGTTCATGTTAAATACATTGATTATGAAACCTTATTGTTAAGTGTGACTGATATTTTTAAGATTTTTGGAAGGATGTTTGACATAGGCTTCAAAGAATTCTGAAAGACTTGAAAAAATACATTTAATATGGAATTAAATGTTTAATATAAGTCTTCTGATGACACATCATTGCTTTATAAGATTACCAGACTTAATTTAGACAATAATGCATATATAAACATTGAATGGTAAATAAAAAAAGTTTGAAAAGACATGAGGGTGCAAAAATTATGACAGAAATTGTATTTTGTATTTAAGCAGCACTTTAAATCATTTTATATCACAGTTAAGTCAATTCAACTTTATTTTTATAGCTATTTTTATAATGTAGATTGTGTCAAAGTAGATTATCTTGGATGTTAATGTCGTAGAGGAAGAATTTCTGAAGAATCTGTTTATACTGATGTAATCACAAACGTGTGTTTTTTGCAGATGGAGGCCACAGAGTGTGGCACAGGGTTAATTGGTCGAGGGGACTCTGATGGTGTCCATATGCAGGTACTGTCTACACTTCTACTGTTTTCTGCATTTACTGAATAAGTCGCTTATTAAGTCAGTGACTCACTGTTGTGTCCTCAGATTGTACTGCAGGGTCAAGACTGTCGTTCACCTAGAATCCAGCATGTTGGAGAAAAGGCCTTCCGATGTGAACATGAAGGGTGTGGAAAACTCTACACTACAGCTCACCATCTGAAGGTCGAATATTCATATTGATATGTTCCACTAAGGCCTTAGTAATTAAATGTTTACTTTGGCTGTGCAGTAATTTACCCACTTCTTGACTTCTATATTTTAGGTTCATGAAAGATCACATACTGGAGATAAGCCCTACATTTGTGATCATTTGGGTTGTGGCAAAAAGTTTGCAACAGGTAAAGGTTTTACCAAAAATAAAGCATTTCTTTTCTTTTGTATGTGCATTTTTACTTATTTTTATCTGCTGTTTTCAGGATATGGTCTCAAGAGTCATGTCCGAACACACACTGGAGAGAAACCGTACCGCTGTCAAGAGCTCAACTGCCTTAAGTCTTTCAAAACTTCTGGAGATTTACAAAAACACACAAGAACACATACAGGTGAACTTTCCAGGTCTGCATTTAAAGGAATAGTTCACCCAAAAATGAAAATGTTCTGTCATTATTTACATATACAATCTCCTTTCACATGTTCCAAACCTTTTTTTCTTCTGTTTAACACAGAAAAGGATATTTTAAAGATAGAGTTTTTCTTATTTTAATAGTCAGTGGATATCACAGGGTTTCTGCAGGGTCTTAAAATGTCTTAAATCTCAAAAATCAAATTTTAAGCCTTAAAAAGTCTTGAATTCACTGAAATATTGTGTTGTAGGTCTTAAAGCTTTTATCAACACGTCTTAATTTTTCTTTGTTCATGTATTGCTACCAAATCTGAACAAAACCCATACAATTACCAACAATAATCTCAATAAAACTTTAAACTTTTTATTAATTTTATTCAGTATTTTATTTATTTCAATTTTAACTCTATTATTCATAATGGTTTAATTATTTTCCTTACAATAACATTTGTTTAAAAGTGCTACGTGTATTTACTGCTGAGGATACTGACCTGGACAGATTGTTGTGCATACATTTAGATTATTCTAGTTTTTAAAACTTTTAAAACATTTTTTTATTTTTCTTCTTTAAGTTTATGTTGGTAAAAAGTGTCTTGATACAACTAGAGCTTGCATGTTTTCACACAATATTTAAAATATTTTGCTAAGAAATAAAATCTAAAATATTGTATTTTTAAATTATTAAATTACTATTGTATTATTAAATATATTGAATTATATATATAAAAATAAATTGATAGGGCAAAAAAAATCTTTTCCATTTGGGTCATTTAAAAAATACCTTAGCCTTTAGCCATTTATAGGTCTAAAATTTCATTTATAATTGTCTTAAAAAGTCTTAAATTAAACTTGGTGAAACCTGCAGAAACCCTGTATCAGGTTTTCATCTTTCTTCAAAATATATTTGATTGTGTTCAACAGAAGAAAAAAATACTCCTAAAGGTTTGTGGAACCACTTGAGGGACAGTAAACTTTCATTTTTGTGTGAAAGGTTTTAGTTACTTCATTTTGCATTAAAAACATGGAGTCTGTTATTATCATTTTTGTTGTTTATGTTGCTTAATGTTCATTTTGTAGGTGAAAAACCCTTTAAATGTCCGTTTGAAGGCTGTGGGAGATCTTTCACCACATCCAACATTCGTAAAGTCCACATCCGAACTCACACAGGCGAAAGGCCATATTACTGTGCCGAACCCAACTGCGGAAGGGCCTTTGCAAGTGCCACCAATTACAAAAACCACATGAGGATCCACACAGGTACTTAGTTTGATCTCTTCAATTCAAACCAGAAGCTTTGAGTTCACAAAAACTATCATTTCAGACTATAAACTGAAAAAGTGTCTTAATGTCATCATCTTCAGGTGAAAAGCCATATGTCTGCACAGTTCCTGGGTGTGACAAACGTTTCACAGAGTACTCCAGTCTATACAAGCACCATGTGGTTCATACGCCCTGCAAACCCTACAACTGTAATCACTGTGGAAAGACGTATAAGCAGATTTCAACCTTAGCCATGCATAAACGCACCGCACACAATGACACCGAGCCTATAGAAGAGGAGCAAGAAGGTTATTTTGAGCCTCCTGCAGGTCTGCTTATTTAAATCTCCAGGCAGATATTATGATCTAATGATACTGGTTGACTAACAGAGTTTTTAAAATCGCATCTTTCTCAGAGGCCATTGATGACCCTGGGTTAATGTATACTCCAAGTGTGGTGGATGACGACTCTGGATCTGAGCAAGTGTCAGGATCTGAGATCATGGGACAACATCATGTGGCTCTCATATCCCAGGATGGCACGCAACAGGTTGGTGATGACACTAAGAGAAATCTGCTTTGTATTTATTTAGGCTGACTGTTTAGACCACAAAGACATTTTGTCATAATCGAACTAAACAGAAACGGAATTGAGACATGTGGAGTATGCTGATTTTAGTCACATTATTGAAGTGCAGTACAGACATGTAAACGAAGCAATAAAGCTATTACCTTCATGTGGGATTTTCGCAGCATTTTGCGACAGGATAGTCTATACATACACAGATGCATGAAATGTTCCTAAATGAAAGTAAAAGTGCCAAACTGCAGTTAAAGTCGAGAAATTAAAACTGAAACACCCAAAGTTACATAAAACTCAGAGGAAATGTGGACAGGGCAGTGGCACAATTACATTAATCAAATTATGTGCTATAACATGTAAAACAGGATCAAGAAGAAAAATTCAAAAAGCAACTTTCGGTCATCACCTAAATCATATTATTGTCTTACTCAGATTTAGGCAAATAATTTGATTACTGATGTCCATGTAAACATTTTACATGTAGTTTACATTTGAGCATGGGTAATGCAGTATTTTACATCAATTTCACCATGTTAATAAGGATTATTGTTTTCTCAACTTTTAAAAAATGCTGAAATATCAATTTTAGTACTTTTTTGTTGTGTAAACAAACCCTTGAGAAGAAAATCTGCTGCACCTGATTATTAGTAACACTGGTGTATGTAACATTTATCAAAAATAATATCCAATGAACTACATGTAGCCCTAAAAAAACAGACAAGTTAATGATCGAGTGTAATTTACTATAAACTGTTGTAGCCTATTATCATATTGTAACTTTCCATAAACGTCAAGCCTTAACACATTTATTTAAAGTAAAACTAAAACTATTAGTGTGCGACAAATGTGTTATATAAATGACTCGCCTGTGTCTTTCACCACAAATGCAAATGTGTGCACTTTGTGCATGGTTTGCTTGCTTGGTACAAATATAGTATTATGAACATACTCAAAAAATTAAATTGAATTAAATTCATGTTTATTTATATAGCGCTTTTCCAATGTAGATTGTCAAAGCAGCTTAACATAGAAGTTAAACTGAAACCGCTTCAGTCCATTTTTCAGAGTTGAAGTTCAGTTCAGTGTCCTTTTATTTTATTGCTAAAAACCCAAACACTGAAAAACAAATCCAATGCTGATGGCCAGCTCCACAAATTCCACTCCAACCAAGCCAATGGCAACATTGGCGAGAAACAAACTTTACCAATTGACGAAAGTGAAGGAAAAAAAACCTTAAGGGGAAACCAGGCTCAGTTAGGCACAAACAGTTCTCCTCTGGCCAAACTTCTTGTGTAGAGCTGCAGTCTAATAAGACATTTTGATTTAATCATATATATATATATATATATATATATATATATATATATATATATATATATATATATATATATATATATATATATATATATAGTTGAAATCTGAATTATTAAACCCCCTTTCAATTTTTTTTTTTTTTTTATATTTCCCAAATGATGAAAATGTTCTTCTGGAGAAAGTCTTACTTGTTTTATTTCAGCTAGAATAAAAGCAGTTTTAAATTTTTTAATAAACATTTTAAGGTCAAAATTGATAACCCTTTTAAGCTATACATTTTATCGATCGCCTACAGAACAAACCATCGTTATACAATAACTTGCCTAATTACTCTAACCTGCCTAGATAACCTAATTAACCTACTTAAGCCTTTAAATGTCACTTTAAGCCGTATAGAAGTGTCTTGAAAATATCTAGTAAAATATTATTTACTGTCATCATGGCTTCAACTGTGTATATATAAATGATACAAAAGACAAATCTACAATGGAAACGTTGTATAATATTTACTGTGGTCAAATCGGTTTATGCAGTTGTGTCTCAGGTAAACAATGAAAAATTTCAGACTTTCTGAATTTGGTTGTTTTTTTTCTTTCCTCAGGTTCTGTCTCAAGCAGATATGCAGGCTATGGGAGGCACGATTACAATGGTAACACAAGAGGGGACCACCATAACAATCCCAGCCCATGAAGCAATGCTTTCCTCAGGGGGAGCACATTCAGTTACTATGGTATCTGCAGACGGCACTGAGGGACAAGTAAGGATTTTTTTACATCATCCAGCTGGTTTTCTACCTGCAGAAGCCATTACATTTGCTGAATACACACACTTTATTTACATTTTAGGTGGCCATCGTAACGCCGGATCTGGCAGCTTACCAGACAGAAGAGGGGGAGCTGATCCAGGATCAGGAACAACATGAAGTTTCCACAAGCCCACACCCGGTCACTCTGCTGGCTACCTCTAACGGCACACACATAGCTGTGCAGGTATAGCATAAATATATATATTTACACACAGACATACACATGCGTAATGGAATCATACTCTCAAAGACAGAGTCACATTAATACAAACACACACACAGTTAGGAGGGGCTGGAAATCTTAAATCATATGTTTACTTAGTTTATGTGTTTACTTGGGAATAAATAATACAGCTCACAGTTAATGCTGTAAACCCTTAAGCCCCTTTTAGGGTGGAAACATGTAATTATTGTTGGGGGTTTTTACCATTAGGTGTTTGCTTTCAGGATGTGTTAAAGATGTCAAGTGAAACAGTATTCTGGAATGTTCTTTAGGTCTTGGCTTTGGAAAGTTGTAAAACTAAATTTGCTATGCATCTCAGCAAAATAATTTTAAGCTAAGTCAGATTATAGTCAAATATAGTCAAAGTCAAATATATTTCATACTTCACTACTTGTATTTCCTAAAGTATTTAATCCAAAGCTACAATGGCTATGTTTACTTTGACATCAGTATTTGAATTATTTGCCTTAATCTGAATAAGACAATAATATGATGTGGTGTTTGAGGTGTTTACATGAGTTGAGTTTTAAAAGTTCCTTTCATGATCCTGTTTTACATGTTATAGCACCTAGATCAATTACCATCATTGCGTCACCACACTATCCACATTTCCTCTGGAGTTTCATGTAATTTCAGGTGTTTCATTTTTAAAGTCTTTGACTTTAGCTGCAGTTAGGTAGTTTCACTTTCATTTAGAAACATTTTATTCATGTCCCTTTGACAAACTGAGGTATTGGAAGCGAGTGCGAAATAAGGACTGGTGGAAGACTGTTGTTTTAATTGAATTTGATACCGCATGCCATATGGGAGAAAAAAAACTCATTTCACGGTGTCTGTGGTCTTAACTGACTTGGTAGTTGTGGAGAATAGTATCAAACAGCCATCTGTGTATGGACTATCCTGTTGCAAAATGCGGTGAAAACTCCTACATGGCGGTAATAATTTGATTGCGATGTTTCCATGTCTGTACTGCCCTTCAAATCGTCATACTCCACATCTGGTTAATCCGAATTTTGTTTAGTTATAAACTTAGGCGGATTAGATTAATAAAATTTACTGTTTACGTGGTAGACTCTTAGAGTTTTGTCTGAATCCTATTAAAATCTGATTATTGGTGTCCATGTAAACATACAATTTACAAAAAAAAAGAAACTGTTCTTTAAAATTACGTATAAAGGTTTGTGTTACTTATCTCTTTTTATTTGTAAAATTTATGTAAAATTCAGTTCAGTTTTCTGTGATTTTAACAATTCCAATGGCAGGATATTTTATGATCAATAAATAGTTCACACAAAAATAAAAAAAAATGCTGTTCACTCACACCCTGGAAATTCCCAATAGAAAATAAGTGCAAAATGAATAAAACCAAAATCTTAAACAGCAACTATAAAGTGCACAAATACTAATTTTAAGCCCTTGATATTTGTATTAATCCATATACAGTGCTATTTAATAAATAATTTCCACTCATGTAATAAATAGCTGAAATTAGTTGCAGATAACTGTATAATAATATTCTGCTTGTTAAGTGTGAGTCAAGTAAAGCAGCTTCTGAGTCCAATTGCTCTATCAAACTTTATGGGGAGACTCAACAAATGGTAGTTATAAATGTTTACAATGCGATGTAATACTGCCGAATATCACGACCATTATATATATATATATATGGCCAAACAATTATAATTTTTTTTTATATATTGTTAAAATGTTGGGGTCTGTGATATAGCAAGTCCAGAGACTGTCGTGTACACCATGATTTTATATAAAATTCCCTTTAATGTGTGATAGGACTAAAAAATTATCATACAAATATTTTTTAAATATCAATTCAAATAAGCAGCGGCTTGGACCAGGAAACAGTGTTTCGTACGTCACCACTTAACAAACCCATGATCATTGATTGCATCATTTTTGTTTGTATTCATAGAGAACTGATTGATTTAGTTGGTTTAGTCCAATCAATCTTGTATTGATCGTAAAATAGATGTGCCATTCAGTTCTGATTAATGAGCTTACATTGCCAACAAAAGGAAAGTGTGTTATTTGAGTGTTTCTGTCTTATTAGAACTGAATGATTGACAATTTTGAAATCATTTGTTATCATGAATCTGTAAACAATTATTCCATTTATCTCCAACTTTCTCCTCAGCTAAGTGATCATCCGTCCCTAGAAGAAGCCATCAGAATAGCATCAAGAATACAACAAGGAGAAACTCCCGGCATGGACGATTAACTCATGTTGTATAACTTATCAATGAACTAAAGGTCTCAAGGATTTGTGTGTGTGTAAGTCTGAGTGTTGTAAAAATATTTTTTTCTAATGCTGGCATCATGATCGCTATATATCAAATATATTTTTGTGTGGATATGTACATAGCTGTTTTAAAAGTAGAGTTTTCTGTATATATTTGATTATGCTATTTTTGCAAGCTGTTAAAAAAGGTCTATGATAATAATAATAAAAAGACAAAATCTATTTTTAAATGTATTTTTAATTTAATGTCAATGCCAATGGAATGATGAGATGTGAGTCCTTCAGTTTGGAGAGAAGTCTTAAACTTTAAAAGAAAAAAAGCTGGTGGTTTTTATTTATTTATTGTACACCTTATAAACTTTTGGGTGCTTTCCAATTGTGGCTTTTATGTACAGATTTGCCAGAACGACATACATTATGGAAAGTCCCATCAACAATGGTGATGATGATGTAAAAAAAATATATCAATAAGACTTAACGGGCTGTGCAAGTGATTATCATTGTTAACTGATTGCCATTGGATAAGCTTTGCCATCAAAACAAAACCATGTGGCTAATTTACTGTCATGAAAACAAACAAAATGATTAATCTCATCTAATATTATATGATGCACTTAATGTATCGTGTTCCTGTGCCACAAATAACGGATCTCAATGTGCTCTAATATAAGCGGACATTCTCTGATTAACTCAAAAGATCAAACGATACCATCAATCAGATGAAAGAAAAGCATTCGCGCCAAATTGAGGTCACACTCAGTGTATATGTCGGGGGAGGGACTTGCTGACGTAGCACACTCAGAACCTCCTATGTTTTAAACTTTGGAAATCGACGCTCATTGGTGCACATCGCGTCACATGACCAACGGTCGCGGGAAGACTTTGACCACGCTTGTTGGTGGGAGGAGTAGCTCGTCATTCAAACTACTTTTGTAAACATTATAGTCTTTAAGGATACTATTTTGGATGATCTGACATCTTTTGAGAGGTTTACGGTTTTGTTTTACGTGCCGTATATCGCTTCGCCGCTTAATAGGAATTGACTTTTCTAGTTTTTCGGATATTCAGTTGGAAGTTTCTGGAGCAGCCATTTTTTTCATCCGAGACGTCGCCGTGGACGCTGGTTTGAACAATTTCAACGTCGATATCAGTTTCTGTATGCGGCTAAACTAAACTTGTTCGGACTTGTCACGGAGTTATCACTCGCCAAAAGAAGATATTTTCACGGATAACGTTAATCCATAAGGCGGACTCTTTCAAGTCTGGGGATCACTTCTCTCGCTCCGGTTGTTGCATCGCTGGATCGGTATTAACGTTAGAAATGTTCATCTAAAACAAAGTTACATCATATCTGCTTGATTTGTCAGCCTACTGGGCTGGTTTTAATGCCTATATACAACTTACTTTTAAGTTTTTACGTTTTATAGTTAAAAATAGCTGAACTTTTAACCGAAAATATGAGTTTCGGGGCTGGGAGACACGGCAAGTCTCCAAATCTTAAACCCGTTCGCCAGAAGCTGCAGTTTTCGACTAGTGACGGGGAAGAGGACAGCATTGAAGACGCAAACAACAGCACTGGGGCCGAATCGGGTTTCACGGAGCTGGACTCTCCAGTACCTTTGCGGCGCAGCCTAGAAAAGAGGCCGGAGGACTTGGGCAACAGTAGCCCGCTAAGCCGAAACCGAGACGACGACGAGTCCTGGGATGAAGAGGGGTTCGGCTCGCCGTCTCGGGTGAAACCAGCTTTTTACATGAAAAGCTCTCCATCGCCACGGAAAAGTCCTCCGGCGTACGATAGTTCACCCGAGAGGAGTTACATTCACGATGACATGGAAGGCTCCAGCTCGCCTATCCCGGACTGTCCCGATACACCACCCCACAAAACCTTCAGAAAACTCCGTCTTTTTGATACCCCCCACACCCCAAAGGTTTGTTTTTTCAGTTATTCGCAAAAATAGTTTGTGCGTTTTATGTACAAGTTTAAAAGTTTACATTTTTTTGTTTACATTTGTAAAAAATGTTTTTCCACGAGTTTTTTTTTTCCTCCCCTCGGTTGTTAACTTTTAAAAGGCAAAGTAAATAACGTTAGTCATGATTTGAAAATAGATTTGCATTACCTAGTGGATGAGCTCACCTAGTGACCTAGAAATGGGCTAACGTTAACTGTACAGCAGTTGCGTAACAATTTTAGTGAATCAGTCTATTGATACCAGAACATCATTACATCATGTCTAACGCACAGGCGTTTCCTTGTTTTCTGTTGAAACAATTTTAACGTAGTTTAATGTGCTGTGCTAATTAAAATGAGTGTTAACTGTGCATATTATTGTATTTACAGAGCTTATTGTCGAGGGCCAGGACGATGGGCTCGACGAGCCGGAGAGTCGCCCTCTTTACGAATGTTGATTCAACGAGTAAAGCCTGTCTGGACGGTAAACGAAACCAGACACCCAGAGTAAACATCAACCCCTTCACCCCGGACTCTATACTGGTGCAGTCATCGACACTACAGAGAAACAACAGGAAACGATCACACTGGAATGAGTATGTTGACTAGTTTAAAACGTCTTTTTCTCGTGTATTAAACGCCTAACGTCCAGATTACTGACTGCTGTGAATTGGTTTTAACACAATGAAACGCTATGCTTAACTTGGACAGGTGTGGTACAGGTCGCAGGACAGATCGTTAAATCCGTTTACTAATATTGTTCCAGGACAAAAAGTTGGCGAGGAACCAAACCCTCGTGTTCGCTTACCAAACACGCCATGTGCTTAGTCAGGCCTCTCTGCTGCCCCCTGTCGTCCGATGTCTTTATTTTCATTCTTTCTAATAAATTTTTCCCCTTTCTGCAGTTCATGTGGGGAAGACATGGATGCAAGTGATGCCGAGATTGAAGATGAGCTGATTCCACCTTCGAAGGTAAAACTTAAGCTATATATATATATATTAGTTATACAAGTATTTTTGATATTTTAAGTACTTTTAAAATCTTTGAATACATTGAAATTCACCATAAAATGTGTATTAAGTTTTAACTGAAAATGTATAATGTGCTTAACCAAAAACTAATTTTCTTTTACCTTTATTTTACTTGACCTTAATCCTCTTTTTTTATTTGCTGTTGTTGTTATGATAATAATAATAATAGTTATAATTATTTTACTTCAGTCTAGATTTTTTTTATCTTTTCTGAAACCTAATAAAAAAGACCTCTAACACAGTTTTGGTGCATTCCTAATGTGTCTAATAAATTCCTTACAGAGGATTACAATGATGGAGAATAACATGATGTCCAGATATGCATCTGAATTCCACGAGTTGGAGAAGATTGGCTCTGGACAGTTTGGTTCTGTTTTTAAATGCGTCAAGAGGTTGGACGGCTGTATTTACGCCATCAAACGTTCCAAAAAGCCTCTGGCAGGCTCTGTGGATGAGTAAGTGGGCATTGTACCTTCTTGCTTTTCAATACCAGAAACAAATCTGAATTATTTGTTTTAATTATTGCTGTGAATTGACCCCTATAGGCAAAATGCACTTCGTGAGGTATATGCACATGCTGTACTTGGACAGCACCCCCACGTTGTGAGGTATTATTCTGCCTGGGCAGAAGACGACCACATGCTAATCCAGAATGAGTACTGCAATGGTGGAACCCTGTCTGATGTCATTGCTGAGAACAACAGGCGCATGCACTTCCTGTCTGAGTTGGAGCTGAAGGATCTGCTGCTGCAAGTTTCTCGGGGACTCAAATACATTCACTCGACAGCCCTTGTTCACATGGATATCAAGCCAAGTATGTATTTGCTTGTTCAAATTTTTAGAAATATTGCGCTAATGTTTTAAAGATCTGTTGTTGTTGTTTTTTTGTGCTATATTTGACTTCTGTTCATGTCTTTCAGGCAATATATTCATTTCACGCAAACCTGCTGCTAGTGTAGAAGAATTTGAAGATGAAGAAGATGGCCCCACCACAAATGTGGTGTACAAAATAGGTAAGACACTGAAATTGCATCCCTAGATGATGCTAACTTGATTCATAAATTTAAAGAGGACTGGATTTTTATAATATTTTTGGTTTCAGGTGATTTAGGCCATGTTACAACGGTTACCAATCCACAAGTCGAAGAAGGTGACAGCAGGTTCCTTGCAAATGAAGTTCTTCAAGAGGTAAACCCTTTCTTCATTAAGTTTTGTTTATTTAGGTTTATATTTACATTTGTTTTATATTTAATTTTTTGTTTTAATATTTCTTTCCTGCAGGATTACAGTAATTTGAAAAAAGCAGATATATTTGCTCTTGCTCTGACTGTAGTCAGTGCGTCTGGAGCAGAGCCTCTTCCTACCAATGGAGACAAGTGGCACAAAATCCGACAGGGCATTCTGCCCCATATCCCTCAAGTGCTTTCTCAGGAATTTTTAAGCTTGCTGAAGGTAAGGCTTCTGACATGAGATAATCCTATATAGAATTAAGTCTACTATTTATTATTATTTTTTTCCATACTGGTTTTGAGTTTTTTTGTAGAAGATGCTGTATTGAATGCACAAGACCCATTTGCTCAAAGAAGAACCCCCAAAATGTCAATATTGCAGTAGAGACCAAACTTTTAGCAAATACTTGTTGAATCGCCTATTTTTAATGTTATCGAACAACTTTTTTAAATCTGGAGATAATTTAAATTTGTAGATTTTTTTATCAAAAGTAAACCTTAAACTGTTTTATTTTCTGGTATTATTATTTATGTATTATCTTGTGCATTATATATTGCTGTTGATGACTTTTAATTGTTAGAATTTTTTTGTAATTATAGAAAAGTGATATTTATAAAATGTGGTAAACTTGATTTATTTTTTTTTTTTTTGCCATGACATGGCCTGAGAAGCTCGAATGGCAATAAACTGAATTCTCTCCATACCAATTTTGAATGTCTGATTAAAATGTCAACATGTCTCCATTGACAGCTTATGATTCATCCTGACCCAACACGACGACCCTCGACCTCAGAACTTGTCAGGCATCCTGTTCTTCTGACTGCATCCAGAATGAGTGCTGACCAGCTGCGTGTAGAGCTTAATGCAGAGAAATTCAAGAACGCACTTTTGCAGAAGTATGTAATCACCATCCATGTTTTGTATATGCTTAATGCTTTCATTTATAAGAGGTAGATTCTTACCTAGATTTAGATATGTTGCCTGCTGAAACATTATAAAGGTGTTTGACATT